TGCCACCCTTTAAGGCAATTCAACATAATGAGATTGGATATTATCTGGTTAGAAATGCTATTTTTAATATTAATAATGTAGCAGAGCTGGTTTATAATTAAACACTGGTTTAAAACCAAATAATGTAATGGTTTGAAAGCAAAGGCAGAAGGAAAGCTTGATTCTAGCAAGGTCATGAGTGGATGATGAAGAAGTAGAAAATGCAGACTGGACCCTCTAATTTTAGTTTTCTTCTGTAGCACCTTTTAATGTTCTATACCTAATAGTTTCCTCGGTTTCTCTGTTTCGTGGCATTAAAATGCCTTGTAGAAAACAGACAAAATAACAATGAGATTGAAAACTAGGTATATGGCTCATTGCATTGGTTGGTCACCAGTTTCCAGATTGAGTGAATGTTACTCTCTAGGTTGATGTTTAAATACAGTAGTCATTTTTATAGCTGGAGCAGAAGAGGCTAACTTATAACTTTATTCACCACCTTCCTGTTCACCTGCTCTTCCTCTTATCTCTGAGCTGGATTCTTTCAGTATCGCTGTCACCCTTTAGAAGGACCGAAGGGATGCCAACAGAGCTCACTGCCAAGCCTGGCTCCAGAATCTGAATCCTTCCCCAGTTGTTTCCAATCGATCTCTTTCTCCACCTGCCCCTGTTTTTATCCTTCAGGGATGTGCTGGTCTCCACATGTGCTAGTTACCTTTGGTGCTAAATTATTAAAGACTTATACTCTGTGGGTCCCCCATTGATATAGGCAAACATCCTTCCAAGTGGTTTCCCTCTTTCTCTGTAAACTGCATCTCTCCTATTAGTTTCCGCCCTGTGTTCTGGCCTGGAAGGGTTTGCCTGGTGCATACCAGTGTGGTCTTGTAGACGAAGTGAAGGTCTCATGGACTTGTACTGTTGCTTTCGGATGTATGTAGAGAGACACAAACTTTCATCTGAAAATTCATAGAGCTTTTTTGGTAATGACGAATAGTTTCAATTAACATATATTAAACCTAAAATTCCTATGATGGTAAAAATTTGTCAAAAATTTTAAATGTTAGAAAGCAATTCTTACCCTAGCTGTTGCAGCCAAAATTATTTTTTCAGAACACAAACCTGATTTTTGTTATTCTTGTTTTCCGAGGAGTCATGAGAAGATTTTAAAGTCCACAGTCCTTACATTATGCTGTGAAATGTCTCATTCATAACCCTTTACAATCTGCTCTCTGCTTCTACATCTATCTTTATTTTGGGGCCATTTACTCCATAACTGCATGGTTGCCAGATAGCACAGAGATTAAGAGCACAATTTTGTATGTTACATACCCAGTAGTAATTTTCCTTTTAACTAGAAGTTTATATGTTTTGACCACCTTCAGCCAATTCATGGTGACTATAGTTAACATTGCTGTGTGATATATTCGAAAGGTGTTAAGAAAATAGATCTTAAAAGCTATCATCACAAGGAGAAAAAAATTTTTTTTGTAATTACATGAGGAGATGGATGTTACCCAAACTTTGTTGTGGTAACACTTCACGATATTTCTATGTCAAGTCATTATTCAGTACACCTTAAACTCACAGAGCTGGATGTCATTTATGTCTCACTACAA